GATCGGGCGAAAATAGGATAGTAGCTTGCTCGATCAACGACTTATGTGTTCTATCTGTGGTCCACATATTCTTGTGCACATCAACGCACACAGTCAATCAATCAGCAGTTGTCCACACACACACACGTGGAGTGACAGATTAGACCGTCGCACCCTATCCACCCACTACCCGCCCAAAGTTTCAGGCCAAAAATAGTGTCGTGGCCGACTTATCCGTACTACTGCACTGCCATTTGTGTACGCGGTGGGAGAAGAGTGGGGGGAGGGGAGGGAGGGGGGGGGGGAAGGGGGGGGGGGGGTGACGTCTGTACCCTCTCCCCTGATTCTACGACAGAAAAAAGCTCTGTCGTCTGTTCGTAAACTGGACAAAAAATCCAGCAAATCATCAGGTCTCCAGCCGCGCTGCGCTCTTACTTACAAATCGAAAATAGTCCCACAAATCCACGAAAAAGAAACAGAACTGCACTTGACTCGACTTGCAAACCCTCGACGTCGCCGTGGAGAAGACAGATGGAGCCGCATTATCGACCGAGCATAGCCGAGTGTTTCTGCCTATGTTGCTCGACGGGAGCACTATCCTGCACAAGACCTGTCGAAAGATTCGCCTCTCGACCACATGGTGTCGATCAGAACTCGGCTTTCTACCAATCAACAGCAAGACCCCCCCGAGGTCGTCCGGAGGTTCGCCCAAAACGTTCAGCACGTCAGCCAGCAGCTCTCCCCTACCCCCGCTCCTGTCTTGTTTGTCAGGGTTGCGGGAACGTCCCTCAGGATAGGGACCCCCCCGTCAACTACTAACGGCCTCTACCGTCGTATCGACAAACCCCACAAACCCCACAACCGCTGCTGCCCACGTGAGCAGTCAGTCAGTTGGCAAACTCCCCACTCACACACTCACGCACTCACTCAATCGCGTCACTGCCACTGTCACTGTTCCTCGACCCCTCTCCCCCCTCTACCGACCACCACACGTCACACGTCCACTTCTCCCCCTCTCTGTGTGTCCATTCAATATGCCCCCACTATGGCCCTCGTCGCCGCCTCTCCGCCGCGCGTGCGCCGTCGCCTGTTGGGCGCTCGTGGCCACGTCGCGCGTCCGCAGCGCAAACGTCACGACGCACCCGACCAAGTCGGGCATTGGCGTGTGGGTGGACCCCGACACGCCGCGCGACCGCTACGTGTACCTGAGCTCGCGCGGGCGGCCGTGGGACCTCGTGATGAGCGACGAGTTCAACGTGGCGAACCGGAGTTTCCGCCCGGGCGACGACCACATGTGGACGTCGCTGGAAAAACCCGACGGCGTCAACGGCGCGCTCGAAGTCTACTCGCACAACATGACGTCCACGGCGTGCGACGACGACGGCACGTGCTACTTTTTCATCCGCGCGGTCGACGAAGTGACGTCCGTGCGCGTGTACAATATGTACAAACACCCGCCGGCGTTCGAAGAAGTCTATTTCTACTACCGCGGGGCAATGGTCCAATCGTGGAACAAGTTTTGCTACCAGGGGGGATGCTCGAAATCCGGGCCCAGCTCCCTGGCGTCACGGACCCGGCCTCGGGCAACCCCGACGCGAAGCTCGGGCCCAGCGCCCGCGTCATGAACACGGACTTTTACCCGACGTGGCCCGGGCTCTGGATGCTCGGGAACCTCGGGCGCGCCATCTTCTCGGCCTCGACGAACCGCATGTGGCCGTTCTCGTACAACGAGTGCGACGACGACGTGTTCAACTCGTCGTTCCAGCGCATCAGCGCGTGCGACGACGACCCGGGCTTTGGCCTGCACCCGCACCAGGGCCGCGGGGCCCCCGAGATCGACGTGCTCGAGGGCGCGGGCACGACCGTGTCGGCGTCGGCGCAGATTGGCCCGGGCATGCCGGACGAGTACCGGCTGTTTTTCGTCGACCAGTCCACGGGCGACTCGGACTATTGCCACTTTACCTACGAGTGCAACACGATCGGGGCCAACCACGTTGACGTGCCGACGGCGTACTACGCCGCGCGGCGCGACCACAGGTCGTGGTACCAGGGCTTTCGCTACGGGGCCAACAACTTTTGCCGCCCGAACAACGCGATGAAGCAGGACTTTGAGACGATCGAAGCGTCGCTGGAAGCTGGGATCACGATCAACTCGTGCACCGTGGACAAGTGCCCCGGGTCGGGCGACGTGAACGGCGACCTGGGGCTCATTGACGGCAAAGGACCCGGCCACTGGAACATTAACACGAACGGCACGTGCTTTTCGCTCATGAACTCGTACTTGGGCTCGTACTTGTGCGACCCGGACAACACCCATAGCAAGTGTCCCGAGCCGCGCGACCCCAACACGACGGCCCCGGCCGGCGCCATGAGTTCGTTCAACTACCAAATGGACGCGCTGTCGTCGAATTGGCCGCTGCATTTTGGCGCGTACACGGGGTACCTTATCTACCAAGTCGAGTGGGTGACGGGCAAGAATGGCTACATCCGCTGGATGCTCCATGGCGCGCCGTTGTTTGAAATCCCGGCTGAGGCGGTCGAGAACGTGCCGCAGAGTGCGAAGAAGAACAATCCGAAGAAAGTTATGATTGAGGAGCCGCTGTACATCATTATGAACGTGGCGCTCTCGAAGGAGTGGGGTTCGATGCCCCCGAACCGAGGCAAACCGTGCCGTGGCGATGGAAAGGACCCTGTGGCGAACGCCATTTGTGACTCGTTTCCACTGTACATGAAGGTTGACTACATTCGGCTGTACCAGGACCGAGGCACGGATTTGGAGGACGACAACTACATGGCCGTGACATGCGATCCCGCCGATCATCCAACGAAGGAGTGGATCGAGGGACACATGGATGAGTACGAAGACAATGACAACAAGGTGGTGGAAGTCGCGGGTAAGGCGTTCTGTAAGACGAGCGACGATTGCTCGATCGGGGGGCCGTTGGCCAAAACGTCGCTCAAGACGGGCAAGTGTGTGAACCAGCGCTGCGAGTGCATGTACCACTCGTGGGGTGGCCCGCGCTGTACTACTGCTACTTCCGGCTCGAGCTCGTCGGAAGAAGGGGTGATGAGCCAAACGTTTGGACCGTCGATGGGGGTCTCGATTGCACTTGCAGTCGTGGCGTGTCTGCTGTCTGCGCTATCTGTCTACAAGGCCGTCACGAAATCGGCGAAACAGTCGAAGGTTGCGATGGCTGCAGTGAATGCCCAGCGAAAGGCCGCGGCGATCTCCGAGACTGGATCGAACAGCGAAGGCAGTACCAACATTGCCCCGGTGTCGAAGGACAACTATCGTCAGAACTTCGTCTAGACGCGCCATCATCATCACCAGTCGTGTCCGAAGGACATTAAATTTTATGCTTTTGCCGTCCGAAGACTCGACTTTGTTGTGTTGCCGTCGATCGTCGATCAAACGCAGTGCTACTTGTTGTGCTTTTGCTCGTACTTTGGATACGTGTCGAGTCTTTTGTGCGCACGACGCTGGGGCAATGATACCGCAGTGGCCGATGAGTTTTTGGTCATTGCATGAAGCTCAAATGCACTGGCAATGAGGATGTGGGAATGTCAGATGAAGACGTGTTCGCAAACGTTCCGGGACGCCGTTGCATGCTCCCTACACTTGGCGTTTACCACAGAGTAAGCTGTCTGAGTGCAAACGCGTCTGAAGAGAATGTCAACTTTCTGCTACACTGTCTGCTGTTACATGTTCGATCTCGAATGTATCTCCATGTCTGCTGTACCGAGTTCACCTATGTAACAAGGGTCGAAGCGAGTCGAGTAGAACCACACATCAAGGGACGAAACGTGACTACCCGGAGCTATCCAACTTGCCGCGTCATGACTTAGCTTGTAGCCCGCAATACATATGGACCAGCTACGCTGCAGATTTGCACGCCCGGATCGAGCGCCTCACGAATCATATCTACCTTGTCGAGAGTGCCGTCCTTTGACAAATCGACCGACACAAAAAAGACAGCAGTGCATAGCCAGCGCGTATACTTCAGCCTTCGATGCAAGAGGAGACGTCATCTACATCTTTGTCCGGAGTTTGCTTGGCGAGAACAGTTCGTTACTTTTTTGTTTCACGTACCGAAACGCGTCGATGATTTCTTGTCTACTACGGGCATACTTCAAAGCTTCAGAGAGCATCGCCGATGGACAAGATCAAATAGCGATGACATCAATATGCAGGTTGGTGCCATCTACAAACTGGGTCCGTGGTACGGTGTATGCAACAATTGAGACACTGCCGTGATTCGAACTTGAGATCAGCTTCTGCCACGTCAATTTGCTCACGACACAGATCTATAGCGTTTGTTGCAAGAGCTGAATATCGATCCCGAAGCGCTGTTTGCCGATGGAAGTACGCCTTCTTACTGAATCGAAAGCGACGCTGGTTCACGAATAGCACGGACAAAATAGGATGAGAAACAATCAAGGCTTACAAACCAGCAAGACCGCTTCGACAAAGCGGGTTCGGTTATACACGTGCATCCTATGACGAATTGACTGGTTTGGGCCAGAAACACAACCGATCAACGATCACGAGCTGAGATCGATCCAGCGTTTGATCTCAGCAAGGAGCTTTGTCGTGACTAGTAGTCGATAATATTGATAAGCGCGTGGTTGGAACGACTCAAAAGTTACAGTCGACGACCTAACTTGGTACAGAAAGTATGCAACACTCGATGCTTGAGCTGACATGTTCTGAAATGGAGATTCAGCGGTTGGTAGACATCAAGTATCTGCTCAGTTACAGATTGTATAATCCGACCGCAAAAGGTGCACAAAGTACGGTCAGTTGCCAGCAAACAAATCGATGCACACACGTACATACGTGTTCATGGAATTGCTATACAAGGTACCCATAGCGTGCATAGCAGTACTTATGCAGAGCTTGTCACCGCAGATAAAGCACGTATGTACATTCGTCCACGTTTCGATCAGAAGACTGTAAGCCGTGCGACGTCAGTTGTCTCTTGTGCACTTGTGCTGTTCATTCATTTTGTGAGAGCTTTTGCATCGATCTTACCAGGGTGACTTTCGAAGGCAAGTGCTTCATTGCTGGTTCTATAGCTACCGCCAATTCATTCGCAATATAGCCCTTGTTACCTCGTTTGTGCTAAATCAACTCCTTCGAGTCCATGAATTTCTCCAAGACCTTGGCTACGGTAGGCTGGACACAGAAGGATGACACCTGGAACTGGTCCTATACCCGGGTCCTAGGACCAACAACGGTCTATGAGGATGATGCAGTCTTCTCATTTCCTGACGAACCTACCATCGACGTTTACTGAGCCAACGGCGCTTTTGGACGTGGACCAGGCGAACCTCTTCATTCGCAAGACCCGAATGTTTTTATAACGCACCTCGTACATTATCGTCGTCTTGCTTTAGATCTGAAACGACTATTATGAGTGGTGACCGACGCCAACTAGTAACATAAAATATCGTGATATATATGCTGACATACTCGGTCGTTTCACAAACTCCTTGGGAGTGATGCGGACCAGCGTTAAAATACGAACACACATCTGATTTTCAAGTAGTTAAGCAGAGCCTCATCATATCCCGGCCATGCTTTGCCTGGCCCCGGGCAGAATTTGTAGGGTCGTCTGTGACGTAGTCGACATTGACGCAGGCTGTGCACTGAGAGTGAATTGGCGTGCAAGTGCGATCGGAATTGACTTGTAATAGACCGGGGCTGCTAGATACATTCTTCGTGTTCATGATATCCAGTCACTACGGTGCGCACCACCTATAACCTGCAACTTTTTCTTCGGCGGCCTGATTTGAAAACGACAAAATTATACTTTTCGCCTTTTCCGCAACCAAAACGCCTTATCCAACGCCCCCGTCGCACTGCACACAATAAGCACGTCATTTGCACGTTTCCAACACCAATCAATGTACCAGACTGTCAACAACCAACCAACATGCCGCGCCCCAACAAATGGCTACGGCACTTGCAGGTTATGAGGGCAGTTGCTGCGCCCACAGTGCCATACAAAATCAATATGATTCTAAGAACCAAAAAGAGCTTTTGAAAGAGAACACCGCTGCGGCCGGCTATCACATCATTTGCCCTAGGTTGTGTTGCAAACAGACCTTTACCGAGTTGTTCTTGGGAGAAAATCAAATGCCATGCTCATAAAAATTGCGTCTGCACGTTCATAGGCCGCGAGCATATGGTCCCAAAATCCCTTGCATCCATCTATCTCATTCCCATTCGCCGCCATTATCGAAAGTGTTTCGGGTACATGGACGTATATTGCAAGATCCTGTTGGGAGGGCCGCCGAATACGCCGTAAATAAGTATCGGTCGCATTGTAACGTTCCAAAGCGTTTATAACGGATGTGAACGTTTTAGATGCTGCCAATAATTGTGCTTTGCAATAGCTTTGGCAAAACGTGATGGGCAGTACATCCACTGTGAATGTGGTACGTTTGAGTACGTGTACCCTGTGGTGTACTGGACACATAAATAAATGCTGTACGGAGTACATTCATTGGGATCTAATACCTATCAGCAGCCACCCACAAATACGACTATCAGGTTTTACTCCGACGGGGCGAGCAAACCTTACATTTAGGTTCTCAAATTGGATTTCATTACCGGTTCAACAACTTCCTAAACATCAGGTCGCATTTTGAGCCATAGGAGTCAGGCGTCTTGAGAATGCGTACTCTTGAACACTGCGCTGTTAATTATTTGGATTGGTTGCTTTGTACGATAGAAGACTCTTTAACTTTTACACCCACACGACCATTCGAGCTTGTTGAATGTGTGAGTTATTGCCTTAGTTCGTAGGAGCCTCTAAATCTTTTTATCGTTCGACCGAACGAAGTGGCTCATAGAGCGTAAGTCTTTCTTTGAGTTAGACTGTGTCGATGCCTTCGTCATTGGAGGATATGTTCGTGTACTGGATAAAACCCATCGTTCATATCGGAATGTGTAATTCGAGAGACTTGCTCAAGAGCGATTATGGACGTTTAGCTCGAGGTGAGGCACATTCGATTCATCGAACGGAAGAGCCTTACCGAGACGAGCTGCTGAGCCTCAGTAAGCCGCCATTAGTGTCTTTTGGAGTAGTAGAAATACAGCTTGAGTACAAGATGCATGAAAGTGTCACAGAATGAAGAGCCGAGGAGACTAGCTAAAGTGCACTACGCAAGCGCATGGTGAGCTTGGTGACCTATGATCCCCTAAAAAGTCGAACGTACACTCTTTCGTGCGAAAATAAATTGTGATGAACGGAAGCTGTTGAGCCCAGAAAGGCTTCCAGAACAAGTGGTTGCAATAGCAAGGAAGACGTAATCCAAAATCGATCTCAGTGTAAGCGGCCCTAGAAGAGACACATCCAGATGTATTAGCTCCTTTCGTCGACGCAACTCGTCAGTATGCCGTTGTTTTAGGTCGTGGATGCATAAGCTTGGGTATCACTACCAGGTACGCCACTCGCGGATGTCGATCCTTCCTGCTTAGAAAATGACAAATGTCGGGCAGCACGATCACTAGAAGGACAACTTCAGCAACGGATCGGTGCCGTCCACAGCAAATGTATGCCTACTCGCAACCGCGGGCACTTTACTGAACCGCCATTAGGACTCATGACACTGGCAGGTTCACTTGGGGCAAGCCTATCACGTAGCTATGTTTAGTCCGAACAACTACAGTCTTTATGTCTTCGGCGATGGCGCCAGAGGTAGCCTTGAACCGGGTGAGTCAGGACGGGCTAGTATGAATGTACGTACAAATACGGGCGCACATCACGTGCACCTGCTAATGCACTTATTGACGAGTGTTGCTGCATGATGATGAGGATAGCAAACGCGTCTGTAAGCCATGACCCGACTATGTTGACCTGAAGATTATCACACTTGGGTGATGATTTTGAACAATGCCGCAACACTGCTGACTAAATGAAGATAGTGCAATGGGCATGCCACCCACGTCATTTCGATTATATGGCAGATGTCCTGGTCAATGTAGCGTTCTGTATAAAGACAAGCACGCTAGTATTATCGGGGGACATTGCGTCAATGATCTTAACACGAAAGTGGCTTCGGACCTTTCGAGGGGGACAAAAGGAGCGATTCAGTGACCATACATTCGCCTTTGGTCAATCGAGCACGGATGAGACTAGGATACAAAAATCAGGGAGGATCGAATACACTGCGTGCTCGAACACTGAAGCTGCTAGAAAATTGTCGGGAGCCGTGTATGTCTAGACAGCTCTACATAGGCGAACATTCAGATCACGTTAACGACTATGCGCCTCGCAGGGAAATATATCAGCGTAGACCACAAGTCGATCTTACCGGGATTGAAGCACCTTTCATGCACTGCAAACACAAAATCAGCTGATATGCACCTGCTTATTTCCACTGATGGTAGAGTCTGGTGCTCGATATGTGTATATCGAAAAGTAGATATATACGGTGCATTGAACATCAACTGCGGCGGCTATGCCGACACTTTCGAACGAGGAAAAGTGTCTGACAAGAAGAGTCAATTGGAACGAAAAAGATATGTAATAGTAACGTAGTCGGGAAGCGCACTGGACAGAAACATGATGCTTACCTCGTTGTCACTCTGCACCAAATCGATGATCGTCATGAGTCGCGATCGAGCTGTGTTGCGGTCGAAGGTGCAGATCATCGGCACTGTCGAAAGGATAGCAATCAAGATATGCATCCAGTAGAACGGATGTTTTATATCTATAGTGGCAGTTGGTTAATGACAACTACGTCAATTGATGCAAATTTGCATTCAATCGATTGTGAATCAGCTTAAGTATTTGTGTCGTGTATTCGATCTAGCACTTGCTCCCAATACGTCATCTCAAGAAAAGAAAAAAAGAGAGACAAGACTTGCGACTGCTTAGCTCAAAATCAAGTCTCGATATGCCCATTCTGGAACTACTTCGCGAAAGTCAGACGAAATTCTGACTATAGTTGTCTTGCTGCAGGTGATAAGCATTTCCACGGGCACTGGTGGATGGCTCGCCATATTTGATCGAGGTGTCATTCGAGCGCAGTCGATTGCTCATATTCGGAAAAAACTTGATCTGATTTTTCAACAACGCCGCAGCTCTTTTCTCCCTTTTCACCGATGCTACGACAAAAAAGCATGTCATGAGCATCATGATGCCCCCGACGCTAATCGACATGCCAAAAGCAGGTCCGTACGCGTTAGTAGAGATAGAAATCCTTTTGGCATGGACACCAGAGGAACCGGATATGGCCGTGGTACAGCGAGGTCCACCCCATGCCATCGGATATAGGCAATGACAGCGTCCTTTGACACACTTTCCGGTTTTCAACACCCTCTTTCCCACACCTCCCACAATCGTGCAATCGTCGTTTATGGTGCAAAAAGCCTTGCCGGCTACCTCCCTGTGAGGATTGTCATCATCTTGATACTCGTCCATGTGCGCATCAATCCATTTCTTCGTCGGATGGCTTTTGGGGTCGCAGCCAAGTTGCATATAGTTGTCGTCGTCCAAATCGTCTCCCATGTCCTGGTACAGGCGAACGTAGTCCATCTTCAAGTACAGCGGAAACGCATCGCAGATCGAATTTGCAACTGCATCCTTACCATCCCCACGACACTCTTTTCCTGGGTTCGGAGGCGCCGCACTCCACTCCTTCGAGAGAGCCACGTTGAAGATGATGTACATGGGCTCCTCCAGCATCAGTTTCTCCGGGTTCGTTCTACTCGCATTCTGCGGGACATCCCAGATCGACTTGGCCGGTATCTCGTACAGCGGAATACCTTGTAGCATCCATCGTACATATCCCTTTTTTCCAGTGACCCACTCGAGCTGATACGTCACATAGTCCGTGTACGCCCCGAGGTGCAGAGGCCAATTTGCAGAGATCGCGTCCATTTGGTAGTTGAACGAGCTCATGGCGTTGGACTTTGGCGTCTTCGCCTCGTCTCGAGGTTTTACACACTTGTGGAATGTGTTGTCGGGATCGCACAGGTAAGCTCCAGTGTGAAGGTTAATGAGCGCGTAGCAAGTGCCATTCGAGTTGATGCCCCAGCGATCTCCACCTTTGCCGTCGATCGGACTCAGATCACCATTAACATCGAACGAGGCAGGACAGATGTCGTTCGTGCACGCATTCTCGGTGATCCCTTTGTTCAATGAGGCCGCAATGGAGCTGTACGACTGCTGTTCACCGGCATCTGGCTTGCAGAAGTTATTTGACGAATACCGGAGACCTTGGTACCACGTTTTGTACCCACGTTTCTTGTAAAGAGCCGTCGGGACACTAGGAGCATTCGCACCTGGTGTCTTACATGTGCCCCTGTACACGCACGAGGGTGGATCCTGGTTAGGGTCGGTATACATGGGACGGTACACATCAGGCATGCCTGGACCAAGCTGAATCGACGAGGACACCAAAGTTCCGCCACCTTCCAGCACGTCAATCTCCGGTGCCCCTCGACCTTGATTTGGGTTCAACCCGTAGCCCGGATTGTCGTCACAAGCACTGATGCGCTGGTAGCTTGGGTCAAAGAGGTCAGGCTCGCACTTGTTGTACGAAAACGGCCACATCCGGTTCGTCGAAGCCGAGAAAATTGCTCGACCGAGATTCCCCATCATCCAGATGCCGGGCCATGTTGGGTAGTACATGTTGGCTTTGACGCGCTGGTCTTTGCCATTTGCTAAGTCCGGGTTCTTCGACTCGGGGGAGATTACACCAGGAAGCTGTACCCGTGTTTCGACCATTCCTCCTTGGTAGCAAAACTTGTTCCACGACTGCACCATCGCTGATCGGTAGAAAAAGTAGGCGTCCGTGAACTTAGGCGGGTGCGTATACATGTCGTAGACGGTGATCGTATTGGGTTCGTCCACGGACTTGATGTAGAAGTAGCACGTGCCATCAGTGTCGCATCGCGTGGAGGTCATATTGTGCGAATAGAGCTCGAGGGCTCCATTCACGCCATCGGGTTTCTCAAGAGACGTCCAGAGATGGTCGTCACCCGGTCGAAAGCTACGGCCCGGCGTGTTGAACTCGTCACTCATGACGAGATCCCACTGTCGACCACGGGAGCTGATGTAGCTCTGACGATCAGCCGGCGTTGCAGGGTCGACCCAAAGCTTGATACCGGACTTGGTCGGGTACGTGATACCATAGGACACGGAATTCTTTCCACCGACGCTTGATGCGATCATGACTGCCCACGTCACGGCCATAGTGTACACTGAGTACTGTCGAAAGTGCATTGGTTCGACGACGACGACTATCTTTTGCGGTTGCTGTGTGTGTGCGCTCTAAGTGGCAAGTTCTCGAGTGAGTGAGTGGCAAGCAGCAAGAACCTGTAGAGACGACTATAAAAGGACTCTAGAGACACACGTCAAATGGCCTATGCACTTGGAGCTGCCGCGGAGGTCATGGTCGTCACTGACTCTCGTCCCTTTGTGCAGTTAGTCGTCGGTCGTATTGGTCGCAGGAAAGAAAGCTTCGGCCCGTCCATCGAATTTTCATGGCCGAGCAAGAACTGTCTGTACGAACACTTCCCGTTCTTCCGCCGAGATTTGATGGTCCTACTATTCTCTGGCTCATTCTACTAGCGCTGGACGCCGGACGTTACAAGGCCACTTTGCAAAGAACACGTGTGGTCGGCGACCAAGCTGGGGCGGGGTAGACAGAGTGCGAAGGGCGCCTTACGATCAGGGGGGCTGGGAACCACTTGTGCTATCCAAGACAGGCCGTTTGACTCATCCCTGGCGTGTCCTCCGCACTGACTTGGAATGGACAGCATCGCCTCCAGTCGGAGTTCTCTTTGTGGGGCTGAAACTCCTGCGCGGCAAACGTGACGGCGACGAGAAAAACAGGTTCTGGGAGGGTAGAAACTTGCACGTGTTTGCTTGTAGGTGCTCGTGTGCTTTGTCGACGTGCTGAACATCTCGGAATGGCTAGTCTGTTGCTCCTGTTGTAATCCGCACCTCTGCTTACGTCCTGCGAACTCTGCTCTGCCTCTCGTGACGCACATGGTACCACGAAGGTCTCCCCCCTATCACCTGGCCCCAATATGGGGAGGCCTTCCTGCCGAGAGAAGGGAGCCGGTTGACTGTCTTTCCAAAGTGTTCGCTGCTTTGCTGTTGTTGGTCTCGAGCCCACATGAGAAAGTAGTGGTGTGTCTACAACCAGTACAGAGACCAACCCACACATGCGAGGAGATTTGATCCGCAGCCGTAGGTTTTATGAAGCAACAATGTACGTCTTTCCATGGGCCTCAATACTTTGTGACAAGCAAACACGTGTTGCAGGTGGCTGCAGCTCCGCATGTCTGAATGCTGACGACAGTCGAAGCCTCGATAGCGTCAAGTACCGCCGGTGGTTGGACTGCAACGTCAAATCTTTTTCGCGAGATGCCCGCGACAGTAGCACTCGCGTCTTTCGACACGACGTCAACGCTTCGTGTTGATGACGAGTAAACGTGGCATACGTTGCTGATCGAGACACGAATGGCACGTCGTAGTGATTGAGAGAGATTCATGTGCGTCTATCGACATAGCTATACGTACGAAGATGACCACAGTCAGCCGAGCCAGGCTTTGCGATCCAACCAAAACCAAAACGTGGGGTCTCCGACAGGATATGAGGCGAGGAGTAATGTGATTTGAAATCGACCTGTCCAAGCCCAGAGCGAGCCTATCGTTCAAGCGCTCTTAGTGCGACGCTGCCCTGTGCAGCCGAGAAGTAAAAAGCGTCTCAGCTCAACGCCTACTCCGACGTGGCGACTGCTTACGCGGCCGACGATCGAAGGGGCGCATCGCCGAAGCAAAGGCGCGGAACATGGAGACCGTCGTCGTGATGATATACGATTCATTGTACGATCGCGCGAGCGACCTTCCTAAACGGTATGTGCGATTGCCAAAGCAATAACGCGCGGTGCGGCAAACGCCTCTGGTCTTAGTATCGTCACCTTTGTAGTCGCGGATGCGGCCCGCAGGACGGTTAAATGCGTGACTGCTGAAGCACCGACGCGTGGCGCGGGAGCACCTCCAATCTTCGTGTCGTCCCCACCCCATTACCTGCAACCGACGATGGCCAGCGCAACATACCCAGAGCGGAACATCACCAACTTCCGCTCCATTGACGGAGGATTCTTCCCGAGTGGGCTGCCTGTAAGAGAGACTAAGGAGAAAACTGGCTTGAGCTAGAAAGTGAATCGAGGATTTCTGTACCATTTGGCTGATGTATGTTCTGCCGTTGTCTTTTCTTCCACTAGTTATAACAACTAAAACAAGAGTAAATCTCAAAACCAGTTCCACAAATGTACAAAAGGCCCAAAACCAAAACCAATACCATACCCAACTCAAGTATAAAAAACACGCTAAATAGTGCCAACCACATTATACTTAGCTGCAACATGGGACAAGAAACTGCTTCATTGCTAGGGAGAGCGAGACGGTAGTAAGTGAAACAGGCAATGGCAGCAAGTGCGGCAGCAATAAAGTTGAAATACATATGATATACCCTTTTGTGGCCAATGCTAACAGTTCATATAGCTACCAGCTCCTTTCGTGCCTCTTTTGAATCGTCATGTACGCAGCTGTAGAAGCCTTATTTCCGTGTCCGACCAATCTTCCCCTTGTGGACCAGCAATGATCGTTCGGGGTGAACGATTGAGGTAACATCGGTGGTCAGGGCGGCATGCCTAGGCTTGGCGATCTAATGGCCCAGACCCTATTACGGGCTTCGATGCTGGAAAGCGCGGAGTTTTCAAGAACGTGTGGGGTCCTATGGGTATACCCACACCCGACAACCTCGCACCTGGTCCAACTGGAGCCGGCATACCTGTGGGCACTGGCCTGCCCAATCCGTCTAATCAATGTAATTAGGGCATCTACGGGTACAAGGTAAGTTTGCTACGCATCCACCTATTGCCGCTATTGGCGGACAGGGACCTTACCCTCCCCAGTCTTCCCAACATCCAGCCGCAGCAAGAGTACGCTAGCCCGAGCAACTTCGAGAACTACAATCCCATAAACGATGATGATGCATATGGCACCATCGACGCTCGGCACATGTTTGCTTCGGCTATCTTTGGCGTCATTTCGGTGCACCGGCCCCAATGCCTGGGGCTCGACGTGTCGGGGCGAACGCACGCTCCACGATTACTGCTACCCGTCAAGCAATTTGTACCTCCACGCGTTCGTACATCGAGCTAGAGCAAATACCACCGCCATCAGCAGCAGATTCCTCCAGCCCAAGCCTACATGGATCAAGCGCCGCCTTCGCAACAACATCTCGCGACGGTCAAAAGGGATCTACTCATTGTCTCATTTGGCGCCCCCGTAGCTCCACAGGGTCCAGTTGCGTTCCAGCAGCCACTGCCGCCACTAGAGCACCGCCAGCCGCAGATAATGGCACCGCAAGAGGAGAAACAGTTGATGACGTACGCAGACCCGTTCGGAATGGGCCCACCGCTTTTACCCGCGCGTGTTCCCGAAGGCATCTCGCCAGCTGCTTCAATCATTCCTTCAACAGTATTATGCCGACCTTAATTAAGGCTGCAAAACAAGACGATTTGATAGAGACACGATGGTAGCTGGTAGCTATTTAGTAAGTAAACACCGGGCGCAAAAGGGCTAAAAATGTATTACGGGTTTTGCCAATCAATATACCGTATTACATTCCCCTATTCTACCCTAATTTTAAAAAGGGTATTGTATTAGGCAGGGTGCACTATAAATTCACATTTTTATATACAAAATAATTTCTCTCGGATAATAAACGACGGCAGTGGTGGAGTGGTGTAGCAGGCTGTCAGTTACACAAAATCCGGGTTCAAATTCAGCAGCAATCGCACAGATAGAACCCCCGTAGGATGGATCTGGAACCGCCACGTAAGTCCTTTTATTTTAGATTTATTGCAATGCACAAGAAAAGAGCTGCACACACAAAAATGAAAAGCGTCTATTCAACGAATCGATCGTCAGAACTCATCTGCAATATCAGCACCATCTGCATCATCAGGGGGTTCTTCGTCAGCACTCACCCATTTACTCAGAAAGAGTCCACCGTACACGTCGTGCTTGGCAATGTGACAGTCGCGGTAGTATACAGCGAACCCAGATGCGGCAATTGAGTTGCGGACAACATCGTTGGGGACAGCTTTCCACAAATTGATGACCCACGCCACCACCTCCTTCACGCTCGGTGGCCGCGAATTTTCGTTCTTGGTGTACTGCACCCGATCAGATCTCTTCAAGGTGTCAATCACGCTCGATAGGCAATCTTTAAACGACTTGAATATTCCAATGTCCCCTGTTTGCAGATACGGCGTTAGACCTCCAGGAAAAATCATCATATCGATTTTATTGCTGAGGAACTTCGCCTTGACGTCCTTCGCTATATGCGCTAGCATCTAGTCCCACACGAACTCTTTGCCGTCGCAGAAGTTCAGAAGCGCTGAAAACATCATGTCAATCCACTTAATGAGAGGCTCACTGTTCATCCAGGCACGCTCTTGATACGCAACGTAAACCGCGCCGCTCTTCTAGATCGGTTTTTTCGCGCCTTTCCAGATCAAAAAAGGTGACAGATTTGTCCCCGTGGCTGTGACGGTAAGCGCAACAGTGATCCACATCGAAGCAAACACTGTAGACCGCAAAATGACATTTGCACCGGCAAAGTCCACAGTGGCGCGCCGTGGGTCTTCAAAGAATAATGCCGTCTCTACCTTCAGGATCGTGCCGCTGGGGTTGAGCCCGATCTTCTTTGACGAGAGGTACGTAAGAAATGGCACGGCACGCGCAGTGAGCTCGTCGTCACTTAATACGGTGAGGTTGGTCGTCCGTCGGAGAGAGAGGCCATAGCGAGTCATGTAGCGAGCGAGCCAATTGTCCGATGCGCAGAAGTCAACGTCGTCCAGCTCATCTTTAGCGAGCTCGCGTGCGGATACTTGAATCCACTGACGCGACACCTTTTCCTTCTTCGATATCAGGAGGCGATCTGATCATACAGGACATCCTCTACCTCGCCAAGCCGTGGGTGTCTACCGCCACCTGTCACACGCATCTGCAGCGCCGGGGAGTTCGTGATGGCTTCGCGATTCTTCCACCAGTAGCGAATCTGGGCCCCTGACACTTGCCACCATTGCTCCGCTTGAAATTTTTTTTAATGCGCACGTAGGAACCCCACCACCAGGACCTTCGATCCACCCGATCACTTTCCGCTTCTCGAGGTTGGTCTTGGAAACGCGCCTGGGTGC